CCTCATTAACTACTACTACTAACTACTATTACTATTACTATTTACTATTTCCCCTTAAATTTTTATTGGTTTCCAAGGTATTTATCTGTTCAGGTGATTAAATTATCTTGAATATGGGCTAATTAATTCATAGAAGTGGTTTGTATGATAAATTTTACTCCTAACTCTCTCTCTTTTTTAATTATTTTAATGATTTATACTATGCTACTTATAAAAGTAATATGGTGTGTGATGACTAGAACAATGGAATCCAGGGTGCGCATTTCCTTCATACCTGGAACTTATGATCTAGATGAACTTGTGATCTCCAGGAATGTGAGAGTGTCCTCATTGAGACTCGAACCCGGTATCCATTCATTGTTTCATGCACCAAAGTCGGAATCCATTAGACCACTTGAACCACGATAGTCACCACCACCTCTTGTGCAACAAATGTCAGTTAAAATATCGGTTTTTAAACCAATTTCGATTTTCCCATTGGTTGATTCGACTGAGGTGTTCGGCATTTGTTTGAAGCATCCGCATAAGGAGCTGTTATGACCATAGAGGCCGAATATTTCACTCCAATCAACCAACGGAAAGGTCAAAATTGAATTAAAAATAAATTAACTACTTAAAAGTAGTTAGAATTTATTTATCAAAATTTCGAACTGTTTGATCAAATAAAATCCTTAAAATTTGATTGATAGCGGTTATTGATATGGACAGAAGAAGCACCTTCAAAGTTGTCTATCTCATCCCAGTGAACCTTTCAAATAGAATTTAAACTCTCCCTTTACACATAGCAGGTTCTTTGGGAATTTTGGAGAACAATCCTGATTTTTGTATACAAAAGAAATTTACTTCACTTTTGTCTCTCCTTTGGTATGAACCTCATTCACAAATTCTCCTTTATAAATTTAAACTCTGGTAACCTACAAACTGCATCTTAAGTATTACGTAACTTACAGTTTTTTAAGATTTTGATCCAATTTCATTATTGAATTTATTTTGCATTGTCACGCTATCTTTTTTTGTTATTAAGTTAATTTTGACTCCCTATTTGTTGATTAGACCGAAATTTCCAGTCTTTGTTCATCGTTCATTGGGAAATGCAGGTACATTCGGATGACGAGTCTCATATGGGACGAAATGCGCATCCTGGATTTCGCTGTGCTAGTCCCCATTCATCAAATCACTGCATATTATCTTCATTATTCTAATACGACTGCGTGTACTTTTGTTATCACTCACCTTATTATCATTATTATTACTGATATTATTGTAATCACCGTTACTACCAACATAGGTATAACATTTAACACTCACTATTTTTGGCACACAATGGCCTCTTTTATTGGGTTGTAAATAAAGCTACGTCCATTAGAGAAAAGCTTGAAGAAAATCTAATTGAAGACGGTATTTTTAGCTTTTATATATTATATTAAATATGTGGTTTATTTTGGGAACGATACATTTAAAATAATGACAGTAACACAAAAGTACGGAGTTTTTAGCTTGCTTTTTTATCTTCCCCATATACACAATCTTCAAGTAAATAATATTTAATGTGTAACATGCCCCAGCTTCAGACGGTTTTGTCCCTTCAAAAGAAGGGACAGCCTAATGGTATATGAGGGAGAAGATTTTTGTAGCTCAGATGGATAACACCGGTGTAGTTGTACTCTCTGAACTGGATGGCTTAGTTCTCTTTCTAGAGAACATCTTTTTCGCTTAAAGCCGGTCCAGTGAACACAACGACATCAATACACTTAATGGTACATTGAACACCATTCAAAAATACATCTCGTGAGTAGAGATTATTTTTCAAAGATGTAAATACACTTTTGTTTTATGTAAAATTAGTTGATAATTCAATAATTTCTAATATAGTCATTCCTCTTTTTTAATTATATAAAATTTAGCTTGGTGTAAAATTGCCATTCTCCGCATTGGACTCACAAATTCGCGCCAAACCACCTCCATCTGTACGCATCCCTCCTCCGCCTCCTGCTCCTGCTCCACCACAGCCAATACCACCTTCATCTCTATACCAACATCAGTCGCATCAACATCATGATAAACATCAACATCTTCAACACCAACCTCATTTATCATCTTTATCATCGATATCAGCGTCATCACCATCGCCTCAGTCACCCCCACCGCCTCCTCCTCCACAGAGACAACACCAACAACAACAAAAACCTCAGTTGAAATCAACTAAAGAAGAGAGGAGTAGTTGTTCCTCCCCATCTATGTTATCAATACATGAAGTAGAAATTGTTGCCAATAAATACACTGACTTGAAATATTCGAATCATTCCAGCTGTACATCACCTATAAATAATCAACGCTGTGTTGTACAAAATCTCTCTAAAACTGACGGTCAGAATACATCTAGCCCTACAGTAATTAACAGTTCAATGGAGACAAAATATTATAATAATAATGATAATGATCCAGCTGTGCCTACCATATCTAACAACGCTACTACTAGTACTACAACTACCACTGCAATGACTACGAGTAATACTCCTTTAACAGAATTAATTATTGTCAATGAAGTAGCCAGTAGAAGTGCAAAGCCAAGGGTTGCATTTATTGAACCAGCTGATGAAGCTTCAATACATGACAGTAATCCTACTACCACAACCATTACTACCAACAACAACAATCAGTCAGACAGTGAATCAACTGTTCAGATAAACAAAGAAAATCATCCTACTACTACTACTAATAAACTTAAATTAAGTCTATCTGCTAGATTTCCTGGTTGGGGAGTGATTACAGATGATGATGATGATGAGACGATGATGATGATGTTCGTGGGGGAGGTGGAGGTGGAGACAATCAACAGAATGTGAAAACTGCTCAAAATGATAATGTATCTGTCAGTGCTGAGACACTGATATGCTCAACAGCACAACAAGTAAGTGTTTATTCACTTTTATGCAATGCATACATTATATTATCATCATTATTATTCCAATTCCCAGCACTACGTCGCTATTTCACCTATTCTCTGTACTATCAGAGCCAAACACGTCGTTTCTCATTCACTTACCACTCGATGACCCGAGCCGGGATGTCATTCAACAGTATGCACAAAGTGCATTCAATCCATGTTGATTTCTCTTGGCACATTTGGTGGGTGAGAGGTTGTTGTGTGTTTGTGCGTTGCCAGTGTAACGACAGATGACAACGGCCAGGCAACAGATCGTTTATTGAGAAAATCAACAGATATTTATAGATTTTTATGTACATTATTATTAGCGTTATTGTTAGCACAGAAGCAACGTCTTCTGATTGGTTGTTTTCTTGGTGAGGGTTATTCTGTCATCTCTTTGTAGCCCTTTCTTAGAAAGTCAGGCCGTATATCTGCGAATCGTATTTTCAGACGCTAACCCCTGTGTGATTGGCTGGTGATTTCCTCAAGGTTTTGCCTTGTTATGGGTTTTTTCTCATGACCGCGATTTGTGAAGTGATATTGACGTAAACTGTTGTCTACAATTTTGGCTTGCAGATAGCTCTCACCACACCAGGATTCCTTTTTTACTTATCATTTATGGTTGGCCATCTGATGTTCAACCAGCGAAGGCAGTTGTTGATGAAATACTTCAGTAAGGTGGTGGAAGTGCTTCTGCTGACGCATCACGTGTATATATACATAGCTCAGTGGGAACGTCTCTGACTGCATGAGGCACGAGGTGACACGGGTTCCGTTTTCAGAATGGACATGACTTCCTTCAAGATGACTACAGATAGGTCTTGCTGACTTGTGAGTGCCAACTAGCACGAAACCAACTATCCAACTATCTAATATCATCAAAAGAATAACTACTCTATAAAAAATGTCTTGAAACCAGGTTAGAAACTCCTCTGGATGTTTTTCCTATTATTATTGTTTCGTTTAATTCCTAGAGGAACATAGGGCTTCAGCCGTGCGTCTCCATTGCGTTCGGTTCTCTGCTAGAGTCTTCACCTGGTTCCAAGTCTGCCCATACGTTTTCATCTCCTCTTCACATGACCTCCTCCAAGTCACCCTTGCACTGACGACCAACTCGCCGTTTCCCTTTCGGGTTCCAGTCGATGACTTGTCAAGGGATATCATTTGATGGTTTCTTCAGAGTATGACCAATCCACCTCCATTTCTTCCTGCCTGTTTGTTTCATAATCGGTTCCTGGTTGGTTCGCTCCCAGAGATCTCTATTGCTGATCTTTTCTGGCCATCTGATCTTGAGTATTGAGCGAAGATAACTGGCTGTTAATGAAGGTCTGTAGTTTGTTTGAGATGCTCTTTATGACGCGCAGTGCAAGTCTCTGATCAGTATAGTAGCACTGACTTCACATTGGAGTTGAAAATCCTGATCTTATTTTTCATGCTGAGTGCTGAGTGATTTCCCAAACTGTAATTAAATTTCACGTGATTTTTTTTCACTATTTTAGCTTACTTCCAGTAATCCTAATCGCAATACTGAAAATCGAAATCGACAAATAATCAATAAAAAAGTAACCAGCAATGATTTTAATGTAAATACTGCTCATACTCCTCCTGCTACTACTAATAATAATAACGACATGTATAGTAAAACCACCAACAACACTGGCGAACACAACAATATTGAAGAGAGACGACATCGAGAAGTCGTGGATTCCGAACAAGAAGAAGATGCAGACGAAGACAACGACGAAGTGATGAAACCTAAAGCAAGCCTTTACGCTAATCCTGAAATCTCATTATCTCAGTTAATGAATATGAATGATGAAGAGCTGTATTATGAATTACACGAAAAATATCAAAATAAGCGCCAACAACAACAACCGTCAACATCACAACTGTTAACATCACAGAAATTGAATGAACACAAGCAACAACAACAACTGCAACAACCACAACGCACTTCATCGATATTAAGTCAACCAAGAAAATCCCTTGCAATGATATTTTCACAAATTAGTAATAATTTAGGATTTACACAAGAATCAACTACAACTGGCGGGGTTGGAGGCGGGACAGGAGCAATTGATCACTATCCAATGAATCCAATAAAAAAGAATCGTAACAATGATAATACTATTAATAATAATAATGAATTTAGTTCAGATCAACGTAAAAGTCTCATTTACAATGATTCTAATGAAATGTCAATAAGAAATAGCGATTCAAGTCAAAGATTAATAGAACGTAATATACTGAATACATTCATGAGTAATACTAGTCATCAAGGTCAAGGCAGACATAGCGGGTCAATCAGTTCAAATGTACACATGAATAAATTAAATAATAATAATAACAGTAATGCAAATACATTATTAACAAATCATCCTGGAATATCGAATACATCAGTAAATCCTGTCGATCGATCAATACTTGTTGATTTGCTCTGTTGTACATGTTGTACAAATTCTGATGATGAAGATGAGGCATACTCAAATCTGATTGAGAATCATCGATTAGCACGGATTGTTACTATGGGTGCCATATTGACTATACTAGGTTTAATATTTGCGTATATTATACGTTCAGCGACAGAAACTCAAACACCGCTGACTAATTCTCAGACCCTAACTTCGCCTACAACATCAACACAACAACAACAGGAAATTCGAATCCTTTGAATAATTCTATGTTTAGACAAACAACAGATTTAACAGTTAACCAAAATTTGTTAAAGTTGTCAGAGAACTTTTCTAATCTAATTGATTTAGGCGATGAGATTGGATTGGATCAAATTTTTGAGGGGTCCAGCAGCTCATTAATACATGTAAATAATAGTAGTGTTAGTAGTATTAATAACAATAATAGTAATAATACCGTAGAATATTCTTCGCATTATGCTCCCTCTTACTCCTCTCTGTCGAACAACTCTTCGACTCCTTCACTATTAATATTATCACCATCCTCCGCCTCCGTCTCTAACTTTACTCCGCCTTCATATTCTAGTCAAGCTAGGCACAGTGTGAATGACATGTACAATCATCATCGTCCACCATAAATTATTTATTATTATTATTATTAATTTTTCAGTTTGTTTGAATTTCCCTCACTCTGTTTTTTTAGTATTTTTGTAATCATACTACTGATAAACAAATTTGTTAGTAATACAAATTGAAATCTTTAAATTTTCATGTACTTATTGATATCGATTATTATTATTATTGTTTCTGATTTCAAATAAATCAGATATATATATATTTCACATTTCTGTTCTGTTGGCGTTTTGGAACTATAAGCTTTTATTGATATAAAGCTTTATCTCTCACGGAGAAATACCTTTAGCTAGTCAGAGGAATATATATGCATTCATACATAGCATTAGACAGAAAACTATTATATTTCTAAAACTGTAAAGTCGCATTTGATATCCAACAGATATATTCATAAAACCAATCAGATTATTTTTGTTTCCTTAGATTTTGAGTGGAACCTGGATCCGCTATTGCCTGTAAGCTCAAATCTCCTCCACACACACGACCTCCTCAATATCACCCACGAATTCACACCGATTTCGTCTTTTCCCATTCGACTTCTACTCGATGACCTGACGTGTGATGTCACTCAAAATTCGACTCAGTGTATATTCAGTCTATCCACATTTCATTTTGCAGATTTGTCGTTGGATGACAGGTTCTTGGTTGATTCGTTCCCACAGTTCCGTGTTCTTAATCCTTTCTGGCCAGTCGTCTGATCTTCATTGTCGATTAAAGACAGCTGCTCATTGGAAACGCTTCTGCTGATCCACCACGTCTCTGAACCATATACAAGCAATAGATGATTTGACATGAGTGTTGCAGAAGATTACCACACCGGTTTCAGATTATTGAAGACCTATCTCGCCTTTCCGATCCTGACTTTAACATGCTTATCCGTGTCGCCTGTGGTTGAAACGATGCAGACTAGATGAGTGGAATTGGTGATCTTCTTCCGATTTCTCCCGTTGATAGTGAGTGGTTATCTCCATCAACCCCATCTTCTCTGCGTTTACTCGAAGTCCTGTCTTTGCCGTTTACCTCTTCTGCCAGTTCATCTGTACATCTTTGATTTTGTGTGACATCAAGCGTAAACCATCAGCAAAGTCCAAATTTCCCACAGTTTTATTGTCAACCCAGTGTAGTCATGTCTTCTCGCTGCCCACTGTCCAGCGCATGATACAGTCCACCACAATAAGGAATATCATCGGTGATAGTGGGCAGCCTTGTCTTACTGCCGTCTTTACTTGAGAGTCTTCATTGAGTCTTCCATTATAACTCACTGGGCATGTGGAATTATCGTCATATAGCTGTTGAATTAGGTTGATAAAGATTTTTGGCACTCCATAATTTTAAAGCATTTCCTAAATTAATTCACAGTCAACACCACTGACGACTTTCTCAAACTTGTTGTATAAAATGTATTACACAAAGTCAGGTGTAATCCGGAAGGGAGTTACTAGGTGGAGATTTTTTTTCCTTTACGGCAGCAGTGGTGTTTATTTTTACGGGATGGGGTTTCTAGCCTCATGCTCAACCTTCTCAATCGACCAGTCCTATTACTGGTTTAGCGAGGTAAAGGTTGCATCGGCCGGGGATCAAACCCCAAACCACATGGGGCGTGGTTGGCGAGAGTTCTACCTCTGTACCACCGACGCACAGGATGGTGATTAGAAAACAGGAATTGGAATTAAATAATCAGCTTGAAAAGCTTACCTAACCAATGTAAACGGTCTAAAGCTAGTTGAAATATGATCAAGTGTTTACAAAAATTCGGCATGAGGAATATAATATTACTAATAAGTAATAATAATGGCGATAATAATAGTAACAAATAGAAGACCATAATAAAATAATCACAAATATCAAAAAGTTATGGTAAGACTGTTAGTTACTATGGTAAAGCAAATGACTACATGTAATGAATTTGAAAGAAGATGTCCACTTTCAGATCACATATAACCAGTGATGCAGATATGAATGAATGGCGTCTTTCAAGGCCTTTGATGTGATATCCAGGAATTATATCTATCACTGTCAAGTAGTCTTGCAGAGATGCCCGATGGCAAGGTGCTCGAGGATAGTGCTATTGGTATTCTTCTTTGGACAGTGTTCCTCAATACGCTTATGGACTTGATGCTGTGTTAAGTCAATACACTTTGCTTCACAGGGACAAGTAAACTGATAAATATAAAGTCAGGTGGCTGATACGTCTTCTATTGTGTATATAGAATTACTTGCTAAACGAATATTACCTTAGGATAACGCAAACGAATAAGACTATGGGTTTTGTAGATGTCGTCACAAAAAAGAGTCGGTGAGATAATCACTGAAAACTAGGGACTACTGAACAGCTGTTTCGTCCTAGTTCATGACTTCTTAGTGGTGCCCACACACGACCCAAGCAGGGATCAAGCATAGAACCACAGGGTTACGAGGCCAGCTTGTTGACCATATACTGAATTCTGACCCACTTACTGAATAGTCAATGAGCTGTCTTCATAGCTTGGAATTTCTGGGACTGGCCTCTGGTGAGGTTGTGGGTAAGTGCTGTTGAAGAGTCCCAAACTAGGACGAAACAAATGTCCAAAACTACCTGGTTTTCAGTGATTCTCTAAATTTTATTATTTCATGATGAAATATACATTGAAATAAGTTTCTCTGATTATTATTTTTATTAAATCACAAATGTGGGATGTCAAAGACACTAAGAAACCCACCAGATAATAGAGACAGGTGAAGAAAGGAAAGCGTTTGTTAGTAGTGAGTGACCGAATGAAAATACAGGTGATTCTAATTACCGCTTAAAACCTGATATTTCTCATGACTGTAGAATAAGCAAGAAAAATGGATTCTGAGATACATTTTGAAATCGCCAGTTTTTTGAATCTCACCCATGGAGTTGTGATGCATCCAAAGAAAGGGGATGTAACACAATTCCTGTTTACCCTACTGTATCCCTTCAAATAATAATCACTTCTCCATCTCATCCGACCAATTTAAAGCCTAACGAATGGCACAGAGGCCTTCTGATGACACTTGTAACACATCCAAGCCACCAAAAATGACATCACTATCTGCAGCTAGGACAAAGATAAATTACTTCACCTCATAATTAGTTGCATAGCGACGAAGCTTTTCATAAAGATACAATAATAATCAAACATGTAGGACAACTAGACTTCCCTAGCTTAGAGCGGCAAGAGTTCACATGTTGAAGGCAGATATGTATGCACAAAAGCGTTGTAAACCCAACCTTTTGACAATAAAGCTAAGAGTGAGATGGCATCTGAGGTGGCCCTGATTGATATGTGTCGTTAGGAATTTTGACATGAGAATCGATAACTCGTCAATAGCATGCAGATTAGCTTTCCAATTGCTTTTAGCTTTTCACCTACGAGGGTGAGAGAAGGCACAGACCTCAGAATTCGTGGTTACAAACAGATAGCGGCCGCCTAAAGTAATACGATAGCACATACATAGTGAGGGTAGCATCACCATCATGTATTCACCATGTCCTCTTGACTGTTAAGAAGGATTGGTGAGACCATAAGTGATCACAATGACGATGGTGATGATAGCTCTGTGCATAAACTAACTCAACCTAATAAGCTTTTCTATTTCAGGTTTGATCACCACCTAACCTCAGTAAGAGATCCATTGAAAACGAGGGAGTACTCTGGACAGCTATTTCGACTGACTTTAGAAATCTACAGGAACACGCACCTATGACTCAATAGGGATCGAACCCAGAAACCTCAGGCTACAATGCAAGTCCGTTGACCATTCAACCGCTGAGACGTAACCTAATAGCCAGCCAATGAATAATAACTTCCGCCAGTTTGTGATATATTGTAGCGCTAAAGCCCATCAATGTCATCAGTGAGTCAGTCAAGACAAGAGACTCAGCAAGAGAATGTTTATTTGGAATTCGGTATCTCTATGCAGAGAAATTGTGTACACCTCATCTTCAAATCACCATCTGCACAGATCTTCCGTATTGTGTTACTTCTGTCCTTTCCATATCTCCCATGTTTCTCCTCAGCGCCGAATCATTTGCTTTTTCTGGCGTCAAATCTATCTCCCTGCTATTTGATGTTTTTATGCCGGAGAACGTCTCTCTATCTACTAACGATAAATCTTATCAGCAGCACTCGCCACACCATGACTTTTTGACTGTTGGTTCCACCTAGTCATGCAGGAAGTTGCAGACCACCTCGGTGGGGTTCTCAGAGTGCTAGGAACAACCAGTAGCTTGAGACTATCAGTGTTATAATTCAAAATGGTTCTCAGTAGTGCAAATGTACTAACTCTCTGTAATCTCGTATAATCCATTGAACCCTGATGCTTTTCCATCCCACCATTCTTTCTCCCACTCACTTCTGCTTATTACAATTCTTTTGAATCTCCTTTGTGCGTCAGTGGTAGAGTGCTGGCCGACCATGCAAGTAGTCCAGGGTTCAAGTCCCGACCGGTGCACACCTTTACCTCCCTTAGCTGGTTATTATCCCGACAAAGAGGGTAGATTGGGAGTGAGGTTAACAACCCCACCCCGTAAAAAAACCATTGCTACTGAACCTTAAAAGCTGTAGCTTGAGGACCTATGTTCCACTCGGAACGCAAAGGAATAAAATAAACAATAACAACAATGATCAATCTCCGTTTTCTCTACCTTTGTGTGCGACTTGCAGCGTGGCAACTTGAACAGGTGCACTTTTATGTTAAAACTCAGTCACTCAGCTTTTACAGCAGTTTGAAGCTTACGATTTAATATACAAACATGTATACAAATGATTGCTGAAAGAAATATTTATAAGTTACTCATCAAACACTTGCAACTCTATTTACATACACAACAGACAATGAGCCACACGTATTGATTATCTGAGGGCTAACGAGGCTACTAGAAAGTCTAGACGTCAATAGGTGGAGCAGTTCTAGGAAGCCGCGGTTATTTAGGCTACTTGCACAGATCGCGCTCGCTTTCAATTGGTTCCAACTGGAAACAACTCTCACGATTGCTGTGTGAAGATCTATCCTGCTAGACCTGAAGCTTAGGCCACACCAGCTGCTGACTCCTCAACCTCCTGGTCTATCTAACCTGGTGGCCAGGATGTTCTTAACAGGAAGCATATAACACTTTTGGCTGCCGAAAGGTGTGTATAACGACAATATGAAGGTTATAAAGATACACAATCGCACACCACAACGCAGCAACCAAGTCCTTGTCCCTTGAAAGTCTAACTGTCCACCATGTGCTTCAATCCGCACACTGACTGACTGGTTTCAAAATAGAACTTTGCACTGATGTGCAGCAGTTCAAGTCGCCACACTCCATGTAGCACACCAAGTAAGAGAAGAAAGTTAAAAGAAATCCAAAATAGAGACAGTAAACAGAGATATGAGGCAAAGAAATAATAATAACGAAGAACAACATAGTTTCATTGTGTATTTTAAGTCACAAGGAGTGGATGCATCTGCGTTTGCCATTGAGAACGATTTTTAGCCATATCACCAATTGTTTCCAGCTACCATTGGATTTACCGGCCCGAGGACCCCAACCAGTCAGGAAGTCTACACCTTCCTACGTGGTTGGCTGGCTTAAACTAACTTGTGGATTTCATTGACCGATGAAGCCATGTTTTCGTTTCACCACCACTGACTCTTTTCCAACCTGATCCTATGTCAGCTAACATTGCCCATTGTAGAGGAAGGCGATGGCCAGGGGACATGCGTAACACATGTCCTAACCATCTCAGACGATGTAGCTTCACAGCCTCGTTGATTGATTTCCCCTCCTTACCTAGCACTCGACCGATACCTAACCTCAATATTCCTCACTCTATTATACCACTTCACATGGGAGATAGAACGCAGGCACCTATGATCAAAGACAGCTAGCTACTTTTCATGTCTTCCACTCTCAGTGACCAGGTCTCACAGCCATAAAGGAGGACGGAGCGGACTGATGAGCAGTACACTCGCCCTTTGGTCGATTGCCAGATATCACATCTACTCCAGAGATGGCGTAAACTGGCATATACGAAATTATCCCTCTGTATCCGTGCTTAGTTTTCGTTAGAAATCAATCCGTTAGCGTAGGCTGATGCAACTTCCCAAATAAGTGAAGCGGTCAACGTGCTTTACCACTTCACTCCCTCTTTTTAAGATAAAGGGTCAGTGTAGTCTAGTGCAGTCCTGTAACATCATCTTACATTTTACAGAGCCGAACCGCATGCCAAACATTCGTAGATTGCAGCTCCTCAAGGTGTTCAGAAGACTCTGCATTTTGTCAGCGTCTTCACCTAGAAGGACTATATCATCTGCATATTCTAAGTCAACGAGATTATTCACTCCCTGGTAACAAGTCAATCCCTGAGTCTCTGAAGTCAGTTAGGGTTAATTCCACTAGTACATCTATGATGAAATTGAACAGAAATGGGGATAGTGGGCAGCCCTGACGGACACTAGTAGTTGTCACCAATTCAGTCGACAACTCGCTGCTGCATGAGTTCGAGTAGAGTGCCTTGATCAGCACACATAAACATATTGATCGCTGAAAGTGAAACGGCTTGCTCAATTGATTTGACGAACTTCTCTGACCCTCTACATAGTGTTCGAACCCATGACTTGGTTGTTGGAAGTTAGCTATTTAGACTAATGCGCCACAGCTTCACACAAATATAGAGACACTGCATATTTATACTAACCACCCTCAGTAAAGAACTTGATTAACAATGGAAAGCAACACACAAAATACGATTTAAGTTTATATTTCGTTCGTTTAAAAAATAAATAAATAAATAGATAGATAAGTACACAATGTATATTTAATAGAATACAAAACAGTCAGTCTACTTAGGGTTGTTTTTTCTTGTGAGTTATCTGTGCTATACGCCTTCGCCATTCAGGCAGACTTTGTAAATAACCGAAACCAGAGGCAATTGTAGTACCAGCAGATAACAGCCTGTAAACACAAGTTACACACATAGATATTTCTGTATTAAGGCAAATATAGTGAAACAAGTAGGTTAGCTTCAACTAAAACTTCTCAGTCGTTATACAAATATTATAAAGAGAATACATGACGCTACCCACCACTGATTGACCGATATGCGTAGCTGAACACACCACTCACACTAACCGATGGTAGTGCTTGGTTTTAGCCAGACCAGATGCCAGTTTTGCTCATTTTGTGCACAGCTCATCAACAGGAATGTACCCGGTTCGACTGAGCTCAGATAGATGCAGCGTGTCAAACCACCTGAATTCTACATGGTTGAACTAGTAATACACTGAATCGGATTCGCAGTTTGTAAGTTGAGAATGCGATAAAAGACTGTAGTGTTAGAGCTCAAGTTTAAATAAAAATGCGTAAGGTCAACCAATATCTTATTTCAATGGTTAAGAAAAGAATACGCATTCCTTAGAAAATCTTAGATATGATAATTTATTTCTAGTAGTTTTCACAAATATTAATCTTACTACTTAACAAAAATTCAGATGTAGGTTTGATCACAGGCTGATATCAGTTAGAGAACCATTAGGAAACCAGGGAGTACTGAACAGTTGGTTTGTTCTGGTTTTGTTCTCTTCATAGTACACATCCATCAGGTCCGAACCGTGGACCTTCATCTTCCATCGACAAGGTGGGCTTGTAGACAACTCAGACACTGGGATCAGACCCAATGGTCCATAAATTCATAATTCTGCTAATTCATTATGTAGTACAACAGCCAGCTAATATTACGTCCCAGTAACTGTCCTCTTACCTGACGTGGTGGATCCCGCTAGTTTTGACATCTCACAAGAACTCCAAGTAATTTTCTGTATTGGGTCAGTTGCCAGTGTGTATCAGATTAATTTTCAAGTGTTGGTTTGCAGGGATTCGATCGGTTGCATGTTTGCACTGGCAGAAGTTGTAATTCATGGACTACTAGATGGGGTCCTAGTGATTGAATGGTCTACGAGCTCACCTTGTCGATGGTAGGCCCATGGTTCAAACTCTACGCTGACAAAATGCTGAGACTTCCGACCACCTTGAGCTGCAACATGAGAATGTTCGGCATGCAATTCGCTCCCGCAAAATATAAGATGATGTTACAGGACTGTATTGGACTACACTGACTCCTAGCTTAGAAATAAGGAGTGAAGTCGTAGAGCATGTTGACCGCTTCACTTATTTGGGAAGTTCCATCAGCCAATGCCAACGGGTTGATCGCTGACGAAATCTCAGCACGGATACAGAAGGCTCGGTTCGCATATGCCAGTTTACGCCATCTCTGGCGTAGACGTGATATTCGGCTATCAACCAAAGGGCGAGTGTACTGCTCATCAGTCCGCTCCGTTCTCCTTTATGGCTGTGAGACCTGGCCACTGAGAGTGGAAGACATGGAAAGGCTGGCTGTCTTTGACCATAGGTGCCTGCGTTCTATCTCCCGTGTGAAGTGGTATAATAGGGTGAGCAATATTGAGGTTAGGCGTCGAGTGTTGGGTAATGAGGGGTATCAATAGACGAGGCTGTGAAGCTACATCGACTGAGATGGTTAGGACATGTGTTACGCATACCTAGCCTAGCCATCGCCTTCCTCGACAATGGGCAATGTAAGCTGACTGACTTAGGGTCAGGTTGGAAAAGAGCCAATGGTGGTCAAACCAAAACATGGCTTCATCGGTCAATGAAATCCACAACAGTTAGTTTAAGCCAGCCACGTAGGAAGGTGTAGACTTCGTGACTGGTTGGGGTCCTCGGGACGGTAAAAACCAATGAAGGCTGGAGACAATCGGTGATATGGCTCAAAACAGTTCTCAATGGCTAGTGCAGGTGCATTCACTCCTTGTGACTTATAATACCCAATGAAACTATATTGTTCGTCGTTAATACTATTCTTTTGTCTCATATCCCTGTCTACTATCTCTATTATGCATTTCTTCTACTTTCTTCTCTTGCTTTGTGTGCTACATGGAGAGTGACGACTTGAACTGCTGCACATAGATGCAGAGTTCTATGTCGAAAACAGACAGACGGACAGAGGGGTTTAAACTCCGTGAATGAATACTGATGAAGAGTCCCAAATTGGGACGAAACAACCGTCCAGTACTCCCAGCTGGTTTTCCAAGTATCTTCTAACTGATGTCAGCTCGTGATTAAACCTGTAACCAATCAAATCCCTACAAACCAACACTTTAAAATTTCAGATATTTATCTCATTCCCTAAGCGGATGTACTGATATATAATTTTTTTACAAAGATACCACGAAATTTATGCAAGTTTCATACAAGTTGTTAGAGCTCAGTTTCCCAGAGTCCTATACCATACTTACAGACACTAGTAGCCAACTGGAAAAGACGCAATTGAAAGAGCCTATAGGTTATTGCACAGTAAAACGATATCTTCTGTATACTTAGGGTTAGGAGGTCTTTCTTCAAGCAGCATATCTACACCACCACCATCACGACGCGCACTCATCAGAGCTCTCTGTCTCTCTCTCGCCCTGTTTCTACAATGTCAACAGTGGCAAAGTTGAAACAAGAAATCGTGAAATTAGACAATCTTGTTTAACCCTACTGTTGGTTAAGAGCAATTTTTACGTCTCCATGAAAGAAAATGAGAATAAAATTTGTACAGTAAATTTAGAACATTTTGTGCAAGATAAAACCTGTAGGCGGTACTCTCTGATCTGGAAAAGTCATGAATCTGGCTAAAAAAATTATTTTATGTTTTCTAAATTAGATTTACTAAAGACTCAATTTTATAGAAAGGATGGGACTGTTCACAGCATATAACCTAAATACATGTGTAGAGGGCAGCTGAGCACGTCAACCATTATCACTTAGAGTTATATTAGTCATAATGGACTGGTTACCGACGGAATCTTTGTGTAGATATAGAAGACTTGTGTGGTATCTGTCAACTTGCACCATCTCCAACGCAGATGTGATTTCCGGTTATCCATCAAAAAAGTATATACTGTGCAGTTATTTGCTGCTCTTCTTCATGACTGTAAAACATGGTCGTTAAAAGTGGAAAACTTGACTAAGCTAACCGTAAGTGACTGCAGATGTTTAGTTTTTACCTCTGGTATTAAGTGGCATAAACTCCTAGGTAAGGATCGGAGGCTGTGAAAATACATTAATTGAGATTGCTGAGACACGTGTTACGCATGCCAAATCATCTCTTTCCACATCGACAAAAGTTGACATGGGTTTAAATTGGAAAACAGTTAAGGGTGATCAAATTGAAACTTGGCATCAGTCATACAAAGAGTATTTGAAAGTGACTTTAAGCCATGAAGGAATACATAGACTGCCTGGTTGTGATATCGTAGAGACGCTAAGAATCAACGACTTGAGAATATTGGTGATATGGCTTAAAGTCGTCCTCAGTGGAACAGATGAGTGTCCACCCTTTGTAATGTTCCAAATCCACTAAATTACGATAATTCTTCACCTACTTACTCTTCCTCCCGTACATCTCTATTGATTATAGTTGCTTTTGAACTTTTTTCTCTACCTTTGTGTGCTATACAATATGTGTGGCAACTTGAACTGCTGAAAATCTGTTTCAAGTTCTACGATGTACACTCAATCAATCAATCAGTCAGTCAGTCAGTCTCGATACACTGAGATTTACACGTTTTTGAGAGAAAACTAAGTCACATATATTTTGAAAATCTTTCAAACTCACCAAACAGCCTGTAAATATTCGTAACTAGGGAATCCATACAATGGATACGTCATACTAAGTATAACGCTTGATAACTGACAAAGTGTATTCAACTGGAAAGAAAAAATTCCAAAACAAAAAACAGTGAATACGAAGATACCACCACTTAACAAGTTACAATTTCATAAAGTGATAGTTAACAAAAGCTACACTGAAAGCCAAGGACAGGGGACAGATGAATTTTTGATGAGGAGTTATGACTGATCAGGTAAACCGCTTCAGATCTGCTAAGTGATAACAAGTGGACGACAGTCGGGTGGTTACACATTAAATCCCCCATCCAATGACTACATGGTAACATGTTCACTTAATCACCTGAGATTTATGGATTCAAACCTCAAAATGGTTGTTGGTTAGTAAAATTTTAAACAAGGATGATATAGCAAAACATCACCTTAACAGTTTTGAATAGTCTTCTATCTGATATTGACGCGTACAAGTACATTGCAGGTTTATATTACTAATACTACTACTGTTAGTCTGACTGGCTGTTTGTCTGAATTTCGGTTGTGCTAATACAATCCTTCTTGTTCCTATGTGATTCTGCCTACAAGTTGTATTTAGCACTCAGGCAGGAAACTACTTCTTAATTCAATTGCAAAACAGTACAAATAGTGGTTTTCAACACTGTCAAAAGTCTGCACCCTGTAAAACCGTTTTTCCAACTAAAATTAAGATTACCATCCATTGCGTAGAAATCCACTTTAAACTATGGATACGAGATACGTCACTAAAACGGTTGCAGGTTTGTGGCCACATGTATTTTGTAGCGCTGCTAAATCGTGGTGAAACAAACAACAAACTGAGTAATGTTCATATTAGGTAGGGAAGAATATATGTGAGATAGGCTAACTGATGAGGTTGTAAAACTTCGCTGAGATACACATTTTCTCGACGAAAAACGTTAGCCGAAATAGGATTAAGTTGTTGGCAACGGTTAGAACAAGGTTTAAAAAAGTTGCTTAATGAGCTAAGGGTTGCCTACGTGAAGACCATGGAATGCTAAAAATATCCAGTTGAAGACTCTTGAAGAAATTGCAGAGTTGTTCACAAAGGTATAGGTGCACCCACTTTAACATTTTGAAACAGAACATTTCAACAAATTCTTGTTTGAAGATTTTATTTCTTATACTTTTGACTGCTCATCAAAGTACTATTGAATTAATGCTAACTGATACTTTTTTTGCTGTTACAAAGGATAGAAACTAGAACTGATGAACTTCTGTGCAAGGTATTACATTGACCCATTTGTCTAAAACAGCATGTCCTCATGCAGTTCCATTACGGTCAGTGACAAGTTTCCAAGTATGTATTCACTACTGCTAGATCCAAATCGAAAAACACTGAGACAGTCACGCTGGATGGGTTATAAGCAGATTTCTTCTTGAGCTCTTCTGTTATGCTCCCAAGTAAGTGAAACTACAACTAGTCATAGTCATCAAGTAAATTTTGAAGATGTGTAAGGCGGAAAAGTGTTAACCACCCACACACCAAGTACAGTCACTAGTTTGACGAAATCACACGCCTAAACGTTAGTCTATACTATCAGAACGAACAGCAGTATTGATTCATGTAGGTTCCCTTTCAGAATTTCTGTATTCACATTAATTAAGTATTCAAAAGGGTATGGGGGGGGGTATTTATACTGAGACCTATTTAAAATTAAAAATACGTGTCTAGTATTCACATGCAGACGGCATATAAAACATCAACAACCGGAAGATGAAGAATGATGCTCAGGAAGGCTTCGTGTGCTCTTGGAGATGTGTGGGCGGTTGTTACTTCCCCTGGAAGCTGACTGATTCTTCGGGTACCTGAAACAGATAGAAGGTTAGTGTTGCGTGACCGCAGAGCCCAGGGGACAACTGCTTGAGGCCAGTCACACACGGCCTGTATGAACTGGTTTCTTGGTTTGGTCCCGCCGGTTACGGACCACCGTAGGGTAAGTCGGGATGTACAATTTTTGGGGTCGACCTTTTCTAACTCTCTCTCTCCAGAGTGGAAAACACCATAGCTGGCTGGCAAGCTGGTTATCTGAGGGAAACACCTCACTGCTGTTACATCCCTGTTCCCCAGCAGTATGACTTCACCACCCCCAACAACAATTCCAGCCAGTGTAGCTTGTTGGGTCATTGCGATGTACAAGCCCGACCACCACGTCAAGGTAGCAGCTATCGGTCAGGTCAACAACCGGAAAAGGAAATAAAATTAAATTCTTTATGAATCTCACTCAAGGGATGCTGCTCACCTATTTTTAACTAGAGTTAATTTTAAATATCATTGCACTATCTAAACTAAACTAAACGTTAAGCCAAGATTAATCACACTGCTGTTGGATAGGATCAATGGAAGATATCGATTTCTTCCTCGAAAAATAGGCGTATTCTTAAGAATATATATGGCATATATGTATGCAATTATAGGTACATATGCAAGTGGCTAAGAAAACATAATAATAGGGAAAATAAATTAAGAATAAACATACCTTGCTGATATTGGATGCTTTTATCTCAACCTCCCGAGTGAAAGTCACAGGACTAGCCTTTAAAAAGTGAGTGATAAATCGAAAGTACTTACTGAAAGGGAATACCGGAGGAATGCTGAGGACACAACAGCTATTAGTCCAACATCACGCAGGATAAAAAGACAAGTCAGACTAACTAGTGAAATTTGAACAAAACAACACTACTACTTGGAAACAGCTTCATTACAGTCAGTGATAAAACCAAAGATGTCACAAGAACTTTATCAGCCAAAGGATCCAGTAAACTACCAATGTTGGACTTTTGATGTGGTACATTTCTTGCTATAAATCCATCTAGCTTATAGAGAATTTCACTCATTACAATTAAAAATGTAAACGCACCACATCAGTTACACCAGCTATTGCAGTGAGACCTAAAGCTGTACTCAGATCTTGATTCAAAATGGAATTGACAATAAACGGAGTGAGTGCCATACGAGAGACTGTTATCATATTTGGAATGGTGAAGAAACCGAATCGCTCCTGAAGTGTTGTATTGTAAACGACTTTATCTTACATTCTCATTGGAGGAGGTTGAGGAACTCTTGGTGCGTAAGCAATATGTAGAAGTTCTACTTATGTAATAGTGAGTAGGGAAACACCGAAATAGCCAAGTATTGCCATGTATTAAAAGTTGTTTAGAAAGTGGAATGGCCTTCATTTCAAAGTGCCCGCCTACCGAACATCCAGTGACCTTTAAGTTCAGACGGACTTTTGGATGAGGATGTTAGTCCTTCATAACGGCTGAAATTATCCCGCATGTTCAAGGTCATTGATGGGTGAGACGCTCAAAGGTCATTTTCGCCCATGTTAGTCGGCCATGTTGGATTGCAGTTCCGTAGCCGTTCGTTTACACATTGTTTTTTACGTTTATTCTGCAGTTTATCACAACTAATCTTCATGCATATTGTTCAAAAATGTTGCTTTTCAACTCATTTTTGTTTCCGTTGCTGTTAAAATTAGTTATTTCGTTGGTTTCGAAAGTTTTTACCACCAGGTCAATGCATTCATTTCATCATAATTGTTTCATGCGTGATTTCAGTGTTTTAGTCGTTTTCCAGCTATTAATGAAATAGTGCTGTGTAGAGGTTTTGGAAAATATGCACGTCAACATGTTTATCTGACAAAAGCTGTTGTTTTTAGTTCATTTGCTGGTTGCCGTTATTGTTCCTGGCTCAATTGATTACTTAGCATGTTGAAATCTGGAAACTACAATGTCTTTCATATTCATGTTAACAACATGCAGCAATCTACGAGTCAATCTGGTGAGGAGAATACGATCAGGGTTGATATTGGTAAATTTTTCGAGGAGCATATTAAACCTGGAGATTTCAGAACGTAGTTTGAAGTTGAAAAAGCTTTGAAGCTTTTCGAAGCTGAGTATACCATCACAGCATATTACCAGTTAAAAAATCAAATATTTTGTCAGAGAATCTAAATCAAACAAGGTTGAGCCACATGAGAAGTGTGAATATATTGTGCATGTACGTAGTTTTGGAACTGAAAGAAACTTGAAAGCAATTAGAAACCCTTAAATGGTAAGTGTTACCTATTTTTAATAATGCCCAATGTACTAGATCCAAATACATGAACTAAGACCGCCTGTAGCAAAGCCACTGTTAACAGCCATTCCGTATGTAGCAAAACGACTTATAAAGCGGATAACATGGTGATCTGGTGAGTGTACGAACTATCCCAGTTAAAGGTAAGACTTTAATTAGCAAGAATAGCGTTTCGGGTTGTGGTCTGCAATCGGTGGTTACAACAAGCTGAGAAGCTGATTATTATTCGGAGTAAAAACGGCTGAATACACATTGTTTCAGTTCCAAGAATGAAATTCTTATTTTTTGGATTTTTGTGATTTCTCCGTGGCTATAAATACGGATGACCATGATCTTTAAGAAAACTAAATAAATTTTCCTAAAACCAATGGTTTTCTTATTCTTGGCGAAAAATCTGTTAATAGGATTAGAAGATTAGGTAGCTAAGTAAGATGTTTTGTGGTTGAGAATCGTAGTCGTGTTTCGGATTAATATCGCGCTTCTAACCCTATGGATGTGGGTTTTCCCTCATGGCACATTATGATATCGAGAAGTCATAAGCACACTGTCTTCGGTAAATTTATTCTTACTTTTTAAGTGACTGCCAATAGTGAGTCATTTGAGGTGATAGGATGAATACCTCTAAACGCTTTCGTGGAGATTAAGATATATTTATTTTTTCGACTAGGAGACGATCTTTTTACCAAGAGGGTTCACAGGACGTCCGCTTTTACTTTGAAATTCAAAGATAACGTTAAGTTGCTCACTGAGGTATTAGCTATGGGAGATTACCTTCAGCGGAAACCACTTTAAGGTAACTACGTAGCTTTAGGTAATGCGTCATAGAAGTAAGCAGCGTAGGCTAATTGTGTCTAAATATATTAGACGTTGTATAACTGGTCAAATCGTAGCTCTTACATACTAGTTAGTCTTAGAAATAATGGATGCACTGTACAAACTTTCACTTTGATTTTCATACCTAGCTCATAAGCTCGTATACATTTAAGACTGGTACGCTGTGTGATGAGTTTTGCGAAACACGGTACTATCATGATTAAAGCAAGACAAATAGGTCAAGTATAGGTAAGACTCATGAACTGAAATAGTTAGATCATCGGCAAACTAAACAAAGTAGATATTCAAACATTGCAGTTGTTGATCATAGAAATGCTGGATATTAGATAACATCACATGATTCAACAGCATATCAGAAATAAATAAAAATTGTTTCTTAGCTCACCGCCAAGTAGACACTCTACTTGATGATGCCACTGCATATTAACTGATTAATGAAGTAGCTATCAACCCTAATTTACTACATTTACTTGTGCTACATATTTGGCGTTTAGCAGTATACAGACTTGCAACTGGCTAAATAAGGCGACTTTAGCATAACGAACATTACGGAATTATTATTCAACTTGCTAAATCATACTTACATTTTATAATGTGCTATTGTATAGAAGCAGACGCGAAATCCTATGAATGATTAAAGTAACAGTCTCATAATACTGTAGTCAATCTCCATTCCACTGAGCTTAACATGCATTATTCAGAATTCACATATTACGAAAGCTCATGGTATAGCGACGCACTGAAGACGTTCAAAAGAAGAAGTAGAAATGAAGAGTATATTAAACATTTTCTTAGTTTACAAGAGAAAATTTTGATGAACTGTATTAGCGTTAGTTTGACAGATTGACATTTCCACTGATTTCACATTCCAAATACCTAAAATATGAAGCACAACATGAAGTTATGAAAGATAATTTTATATATTAGTATATACTGATTCTATTAGTACTAAGTAAAGTTCTCATACAATTAAAAGTATTTGTAGTCCACAGCTGGTCTTTATATTGACGCCGTATGCATAAATAGACCTCATCAGTTGTCCAGCATTAGAGGATTACACGCAGATTTTAAGATAAACTATGAAACACCCATACTGCTGAGACGTCATTCTCTCGTCAATTCCACACTAAATACGTCTACGTTAAATGAGGAATTGCATATATGTAGCTTAGAAATTGATCCACAATCTCAGTATTGTCTTGAGCATAGTTTTCTGAATCCTACAGAAATTACATTCTCATATTTAGGGACCTGTAGTCATCAAATATAAGCTGAACATGCCTCAACTCTAAGCAACTATGCAGTGTTAACAACATAGTGTTACACAGAGAAACACTTAAAATATTGTAAGATACGCAGACCTATTGTGTTAATGAGGATAACAATGACATATAATGCAACCTAGGCATTTAATCGTGACATTGCATCCGTACTCTTTCAGGTAAATGGAAATTTTAGAAGAAATTCATCTCCACTATTGGTGGTCAAAAACATTGCAGTATTAAGTTTAGTGTCAGACGGTAGACTAACAATAGAGCTAACTAGATTCAATTCTCGTAATCACCACAAACCATGCGTATATTATCACTATACAGTGAATAATAGCACTAAGTGAAACAGTGGAAATTTAAACGAGTTATTGCCTTCTCAAATGCACTGCACTTGCAACAATCGCGAGAACTACCTACATTTGTTAGCCTAGCAGTCAGCAAAGCAAACAATGGCACGATATTAATACGTAACCCATATTATACTACGCAAATCAGTGTAAATATATATTAAATTCACTTAGACATAACCTTTCAACTTACCTTAATTCCTGTCCACACACATACAATGAAAGACACGGCTACATGATAACTTCTGTTCCCACAGAAGGTTCTGTTAGCATTTATAGGTGATTCCCATGTACTGATAGCATTCTTTTGTCAAATAGTTCTGCACACAAAAATAGCTACATTTTGACATGGTCTTCATTGAATGGCACTATGTCGAAAGCTGCAGCTTCTACAATAAGTAAACTATTTGTGTACATGACATTACCCTCCAACTACTCCATCTTCTTCATTATAGCAATGTTTCGACTGATTCCGCATGAAACACTAATCATTACAACCAATATGCTTAGAGTGTGTCACAGTTAGGTTACATGACGCGGACAGCAACATAACCAGCCAGGAAATGATAATTCCTATCAACCCAGAAAACATATAACACATTTTTATTGAAAATTATTGCCAAAAAAAATTTACCGAGCGAAATTTCAACCAACATGCCGGATAAGTCCAGCCTTCATAACCAGTACCTTTGGGCAGACACTATTTCTTCTTGGAGTTGATTACAAGAGTTAATGACTCACAGGACGAACTAGTACTATACAGAGATACTGTTCCTCCACGGTGTTTGGACTCTTCTGCTATATCCTCTGACATTTTTCTACCTAATTTAAGGAAAGGAAAGAGGCCAATAGTCATCTCATAGAATTTTAAATGCTTTGGTTATATCTGCCTTGCTGTGATGTAATAAGTAGAATAGATTTATTCTGTTAAGTCTTTCCTCACATAGTAAATTGATAATACCAGGAATTATTTTTGTTTCTGGAGGCAGATTTCTATCTCTGGCCTTGGCATTGATGCATGCAAAGTAGTGATTTTTGAAGACACCCTGCGCATCGCCGACATGAATATAAAGTTGAGAACTACCGAGGCTTTTAGGTCATGCCCTAAGATGAAACCCAGGTCTTTGTGCGCTTAGACTGGCGAGTGAGGCATTCTCTGACTATCCTGTGCACTGACATTTATGTGCCCGACGAACACGGTTGTACACTTCACTGTCTTGATGAGGAGCACCCAATCACTGGACCTGTACAGGAGATTGCTGATTGCAATCACATCACTATCATTCATGATCTCTCTAATTGATATGATTATGAACAATAAATTTTGTTCGTAACGTCATCCAGTAAATAATACTGTTTGACTGTATGATACATCTAATAAACAAACTAATATGGAATTCCTGATATCCCCCTTAATTTTTGGGCCGTCTGAATACAGGACCACTTGAGATTAAATAAGCTCCGGCAACCCATAGATACACAGGATGAAAAGAGAGTATGGGAACAGTTTCCTGTGGTACACCAACAAAAAGTGTATTTCAAAAGGTTTTCGATATGCCCCTTACTTTCTGACTACCTACAAGAAATCCCTCGATCTAGATTAGTAGACCTCCCGTAACTCCTAAATTTTCTGATATCATTGGAGTTCCTACATGAGGCCGATTATTTACTTAAAT